CCTGTTTTGGAAGTTTTTACACTGGGGTTGCATGGTCATCTGTCGGGACTGCTTGAATTGTGCCTTTCTGCAAGGCTGGACTACATGACCCTTGGGATCCCTTCCAACTTTCTGATTCAGGGATTCTAAGGAAACACCTTCTAGTCTGGGTTGCTGTGCGTTTTCTGGCCATGTTCCAGAAGCATTTTCTCCTGAAGGTTTGCTTGCATCTGTGGCAGGCATCCTCATCCTGTTGTGTGCCTCTCTAAATTACAACTCCCATGACCCCACAGCATTAAAGTGGTGCCAAACTGCATTCATTCTACAGTGTAAATCAGTGTTTTCCAACCTTCCTACTGCCGCAACTCCTTAATACAATTCCTCATGTTGTGGTGACCCCCCAGCCATAACATTACTTTCATGCTACTTCATAACTGCAATTTTGCTACTGTTATGAATTGTAATGTAAATATCTGATATGCAGGATGTATTTTCATTCACTGGACCAAATTTGGCACAAATACCCAATACACCCAAATTTGAATACTGGTGGGTTGGGGGAAGGGGATTGATTTTGTCATTTGGGAGTTGTAGTTGCTGGGATTTATAGTTCACCTACAATAAAAGAGCATTCTGAACTCTACCAACGATGGAATTGAACCAAACTTGGCACACAGAACTCCCATGACCAACAAAAATACTGGAAGGGTTTGGAAGCATTGACCTTGAGTTTTGGAGTTGTAGTTCACCTATATACAGAGAACACTGTGGACTCAAACAATGATGGATCTGGGTAAAACTTGGTACAAATATTCAATATGGCCAAATGTGAACACTGGTGGAGTTTGGGGGAAATAGACCTTGGCATTTGGGAGTTGTAGGTGCTGGGATTTATAGTTCACCTACAATCAAAGACATTCTGAACTCCACCAACAATGAAATTGAACCAAACTGGACAGACAGAACTCCCATGACCAACAGAAAATACTGGAAGGGTTTGGTGGGCATTGACCTTGAGTTTTGGAGTTGTAGTTCACCAATATCCAGAGAGCACTGTGGACTGAAACAATGATGGATCTGGACCAAACTTGGCACAAATACTCAATATGCCCAAATGTGAACACTGGTGGAGTTTGGGGGAAAATAGACCTTGACATTTGGGAGTTGTAGTTGCTGAGATTTATAGTTCACTTAAACTCAATGTGATCCTTGAACCTCACCAATGATAGAACTGGGCCAAACTTCCCACACAGAACCCCATGAATTGACAGTTATTTAGAGGAGATGTAGTTCACCTACACCCTGGAGAGCATTGTGTTCCTATGACCATCAGAAATATGTGTTTTCTGATGGTCTTTGGTGACCCCTCTGACACCCTCCTTGCAACCCCCCCCTCCCAGGGGTCCTGACCCACTGGTTGAGAAACGCTGGTGTAGATGCCCTCCTACTCTACAAAGCAGGCTGCCAATGGAATTCCCATTTCTCAAGTAATACTGCGCTCAGGTCAAGTGCAGGAAACTATCTGTCAACACAACAACATTCACAGGTATTTCCTTGTAATCATTTGCAGCAAGACCACCACAAATCCTCTTCCACAAGTTTCCTTTCCACAAAACATTACCCTCTGCTTGAACCCATTCTGAAAACAAAAAACCTCACATTTTCCCAGCACAAATAAAATTATCTAATGAAACAGCTGCCTTATGCAAACAAAGTTGGAATCATTATCTGACGCAACATCCATGCGGCTTTCCAGGTTCTGATAGAGCAGGCACACAATATTTGCCTACAAGTGGAAAACACCATGATCAAGGGCTTGTATTGCTGCAAAATCCTGAAAAGCTCATTCTGTTTGTCGAGCTTTTCCTGGATTCTGTAGCGGAGAGTGAGTTAAGCATAAGCACACAGGGTTTTTTTTTGTTTGTTTGTTTTCCATAATTTAATTCTTGAGGAATTGATGTACTGTACTTTTTGTGTGTGTGTGTGTGTCAGGATCAACTTGAGAAACTGCAAGTCGCTTCTGATGTGAAAGAAGTGGCCGTCTGCAAGGACGTTGCCCAGGGGACGCCCAGATGATTGATGTTTTACCATCCTGTGGGAGGCTTCTCTCATGTCCCCGCATGGGGAGCTGGAGCTGACAGAGGGAGCACTCTCCCTGGATTGGAACCTCTGACCTGTTGGTCTTCAGTCCTGCCGGCACAAGGGTTTAACCCATTGCGCCACCAAGGATACCTGGCAATGACTTACTGGTAGAGGTTTTTGACCGACTGCTCGCTGGTGGTGACGCTGTAGAAGGGTCCTTCCCGGCGCTGGTATTCCCCTCGGCTGAAGCCCACCCGGGCAGGGAGCTCCAAGTGGACATTGTAGGATTCCTTGGGGCGTGTTCCATAAAACTGGATCCCATCATCAGGATAGAGGAAAATGGCATAAGCGTCCAAAGTATTGTAAGCTAGGACAGCCTGGAAGGTGTTGCGCTGCAGAACACAAGCCAAAGAAGAACAAGTTAGCAAACTAAGCTTAAAACAAACCAAAGAATCATAGAATCATAGAGTTGGAAGAGACCTTGTGGGCCATCCAGTCCAACCCCCTGCCAAGAAGCAGGGAAATTGCATTCAAAGCACCCCTGACAGATGGCCATCCAGTCTCCATCTAAGAGCCTCCAAAGAAGGAGCCCCACCACACTCCAGGGCAGAGAGTTCCACTGCTGAACAGCTGTCACAGTTAGGAAGTTCTTCCTCATGTTCAGGTGGTATCTCCTCCTTTTGTGTAGTTTGAAGCCATTGTTCCATTACTCTGTTGGAGTTGAAGTCCAAAACACGTGGGGACCCACAGGGTAGAGAAACCACGTACGCCTCATAAAATATATATCCCAAACTTTTATCTCTTAAACTCACGGAATTGCTTTTTTTCCCCCACCAGCAATATTTTCGTTTGTGCTGAGTGCATTTCACATAGAATCATAGACTCATAGAGTTGGAAGAGACCTCATGGGGCCATCCAGTCCAACCCCATTCTGCCAAGAAGCAGGAATATTGCATTCAAATCACCCCTGACAGATGGCCATCCAGCCTCTGTTTAAAAGCTTCCAAAGAAGGAGCCTCCACCACACTCCAGGACAGAGAGTTCCACTGCTAAACGGCTCTCACAGTCAGGAAGTTCTTCCTCATGTTCAGGTGGAATCTCCTTTCTTCTAGTTTGAAGCCATGCGTCGTCTCCAGGGAAGCAGAAAACAAGCATGCTCCGTCCTCCCTGTAACTTCCTCTCACGTATTTATCCATGGCTCTCATCATATCTCCTCTCAGCTTTCTCTTCTGAAGGCTAAACATGTCCAGCTCTTTAAGCCACTCCTCATAGGGCTTGTTCTCCAGACCCTTGATCATTTTGGTCACCCTCCCTCTGAACACATTCCAGATTGTCAATATCTCCCTTCAATTGTGGTGCCCCGAATTGGACACAGTATTCCAGGTGTGGTCTAACCAAGGCGGAATAGAGGGGTAGCATTACTTCCCTAGTATCTAGACACTATGCTCCTATTGATGCAGGCCAAAATCCCATTGGCTTTTGCCGCGCATCTGTGGGCTCAAGTTTAACTTGTTGTCCACAAGCGCACCGGTCCTGGTAATAGGGTCGGTCTGGATAGAACTTGCCCCGTGCAGGTGTTTTCGACTCCAAATCACCACCATCTTCCTAAAACAGCACTGGCTAGCTGTTAGGAATGGTAAGGAATTGGGAGTTGGAGTCCAAAAACACCTGAGGGCGTGACCAAGTCACCAGAGCCTGGCTATTAAGCTGACATTGTCTTTCCTGCTTAGCTTCTTGCAAAATATTTGGTGCAGGGTAAATACTGAAAATCAATCTCGGAAAAGCGGATTCCGTTTATCTCCCACTTCCTGAATCCCTCTTGCACAAGAGCCGATAAAACTTCCCCATTTGCTATCCTTAATCTCCCATTTTATCTCCTTGGCTTTGGGGAAGGACTTGACTCTTTTCATCTTGCTACAAAGGAGGAAATCAAGAACCTTCTCCTCTGCTTGCAACCACGTTCGGTCAGCAGAAGAGAGATTGAAGTTTCTGCCCTGTGGCCTCAACCCGAGACAAAAGAGTCTTCAAGATATGCATTGCTATTTTCTTCCCCCCCAAAAAAGGAGAAGTTGAGGATTCCAACTTTATCAGAAAGCAGTTTCAGAAATTCCAGAGATCTTGGATAAGATGCCACGATGCAAAGGAAGTGACTTGGTGGCACCCATAGAATCCTAGAGTTGGAAGAGACCTCATGGGCCATTCAGTCCAACCCCATTCTGCCACCAGGGTATTTGTTCCAAATTTGGTCCAGTGAATGAAAGTAACCCTGCATATCGGATATTTACATTACGATTCATAACAGTAGCAAAATGACAGTTATGAAGTAGCAACAAAAATAATGTTATGGGTGGGGGTCACCACAACAAGAGGAACTGTATTAAGGGGTTGCAGCATTCAGAAGATGGGAGAAACACTGGGCGATGGCTTATGGTAGTTCTGAATGTGATGGACTTCAAAAGGTTTTCAAATGAGATTGGCTGGCCATCTGTTGGGAGGCTGGATTGGTGTTCTGCATCGCAGAAAGGAGTGAACTGGAGTAAAGCGTCCTAACCAATTGTTCTGATATCTGTGTCCACGGTTCATGAGGTCAATCCTAGACTAGGACAGAACAATGGCTTCAAACTACAAGAAAGGAGATTCCATCTGAACATGAGGAAGAACTTCTTGACTGTGAGAGCTGTTTAGCAGTGGAACTCTCTGCCCCGGAGTGTGGAGGCTCCTTCTTTGGAGGCTTTTAAACAGAGGCTGGATGGCCATCTGTCAGGGGTGCTTTGAATGCAATATTCCTGCTTCTTGGCAGGGGGTTGGACTGGATGGCCCATGAGGTCTCTTCCAACTCTAGATTCTATGATTCTAAAGTTTCCAAAGTCGTCCCTCAACATTTGCTGTTTTGATTTTTGTTGGGTTTGACTTATTTCGGGATTTGATTACAAATGTACACTTTAGGAATCTCCAGGTCCTCTAGTGTGGTCCTCACATAATAATAATAATAATAATTATTATTATTATTGTTATTATTATTATTATTATTATTATTATTATTATTATTATTATTATTTATACCCTGCTACCATCTCCCCAAGGGGACTCGGGGCAGCTTACATGAAACCAAGTAATGCACCACTTTTTTTAACGTAAAACAGTGGTTCTCAACCTTCCCAATGCCGCGACCCCTTAATACAGTTCCTCATGTTGTGATGACCCCCAATCATAAAATTATTTTTGTTGCTACTTCACAACTGTAATTTTGCTACTGTTATGAAGCATAATGTAAATATCTGATATGCAGGATGTATTCTCATTCACTGGACCAAATTTGGCACAAATACTCAATATGCCTAAATTTGAATACCGGTGGGGTTGGGAAGGGGGATTGATTTTGATATTTGGGAGTTATAGTTGCTGGGATTTATAGTTCGCCTACAATCAAAGAGCATTCTGAGCTCCATCAACAATGGAATTGAACCAATCTTGGCACACAGACCTCCAATGACCAACAGAAATATATTGGAAGGGTTTGGTGGGCACTGACCTTGAGTTTGGGAGTTGTAGTTCACGTACATCCAGAAAGCACTGTGGACTCAAACAATGATAGATCTGGACCAAACTTGGCACGAATACTCAATATGCCCAAATGTGAACACTGGTGGAGTTTGGGGGAAATAGACCTTGACATTTGGGAGTTGTAGTTGCTGGGATGTATAGTTCACCTACAATCAAAGAGCATTCTGAACCCCACCAACGATAGAATTGAACCAATCTTCCCACACAGAACCCTATTGACCAACAGAAAATTTTCTGATGGTCTTTGGCAACCCCTCTGACACCCCCTCATGACCCCCCCAGGGGTCCCGACCCCCAGGTTGAGAAACACTGCAGTAAGCAAATAAATCAATACAATTAATATAACTCACATATAAGCAATAACATGCAAAAATTTAAAACCTTATCCAGGCCAGATGTAATAAATTATTATTTTTTAAATAAACACTGGGTGTGAACAGAGGTAGGATGTATCTAAGCAGGAGGGTTTTAAAAGATAATGTATGGAGACCAACCTAAACGGGTAGTTAAAGTGCTTCTGAGGACAATTGCAGAGAATTAATCAGAGCAGGGCATTGTTTCCTTATTCAGGGAAGGCAAAATGGAGAAATGAAGCAGCTTTATTGTTATAAAAATGGGAATAAGGGATGTGCTTCCATGTGCTGCCAAAATAAGGAAGGTGAGGGGGGGGGGAAGAGTCCCGTGTGCAAAAGTTGAGTGAGGGGCTCTGTGCAAAAAGTTGAGTGCTGAGTGCAGCCCCTGAAGAAATCACCTGATTTCTTGGAAATCACATGATTTAAGGGAAATGGAAAACTTTCGTTTTCCAAAAGATATATAAAGGGTTCAGCCCACCAGAGGGGGTCGCTTCCTCAGAAACGCCACGCTTTGCGTTGGAGGTGACCAGGCAGCTGCTTGAAACTTAATAAACTGCTTTTCTTTGGATGAATCAAGTTGTCCGTCCCTTTGATTCCTGCCTGCGCTCGCTCAACGGTTGCAAGCCAAGCTTTGGCCGAGGGCCCTATTGGGCAAAAAGGTCTGCTACACTGAGATATTAGAGATCCTCCTAAAGACTGCCAATGTGGGGGCTTGTCTGATATCCTTGGGGAGTGAGTTCCAGAGTCGGGGGGCCACCATAGAGAAGGCCCTCTCCTCGTCCCCATCAATCGCGCCTGCGAAGGGGGTGGGAGCGAGAGCAGGGCCTCTCCAGATGATCGAAGAGATCGTGTGGGTTCGTACACAGAAATACGGTCATACAGATAGGCGGGTCCCAAACTGTTCAGGACTTTGTAGGTAAGAACCTGCACCTTGAATTGGGACCGGAAAATGAACGGCAGGCAGTGGAGCTCCTTAAACAGGAGGGTTAACCGTTCTCTGTAAGAAGCACCAGTTAGTAACCTGGCTGCCGCCCGACTAATTGAAATTTCCTAGCCATCTTCAAGGGCAGCCCCACGTAGAGTGCATTACAGTAATCCAATCCAATCATGTTGAAGAACTTTGACATTTCTAGAAACACCTCCCTGGGAAGCTCCGTTCTGTTCACCAGTGGAATCCCCTGCTGCCTGGGAGTCTAGTGGAGTCTCCTTCTCCAGGTTTTCAAGCAGAGGCTGGATTGGCCATCTCTTGGGGTGCTTTGATTGTGTGAGCCTGCATGACAGAAAAGGGTTGGACTGGATGGCCCTTGAGGTCCCTTCCAAACCTAGGATTCCGATTCCATGAAACTGCAGAATCAGGAATACAGTAAGGCAAACATAAAGGATTTTTAGCTGGGTCAAGCTTGCAGGAGCGTGGTAGGCAGGAAACAGGGCTGGCCTTTGGGAATGGGCTTCCCGCACTTTCATTCTAATTTCCT